TATTATCTTTTAAAAATTTACCAGACCTAGATATCCAATTCACTGTTTGTTTTGTTCTTTCTCTGGGAGGATCAGGGGGTCTAAACTTAAAGGCTTTTCCTTCCCTGTCTTGCCCCGCTTCCTAAAATCCAGGATGAGATACGCCATGCTAGAACCACCTTCCCAGGGGCAGCTTGCGCCGCGCTTTGCTGGACGGGCAGATACAACAGAAGTAAAACGCAGGAGGGAGATGGGCCAGTCCCTGAGCTTCCTACAGCCCTTGGCCTTGACACCTGCCACCTGCTGTCACCGCCTACTCCTTTCTCCTTTAGCGAGAGCCCCAGGAGGCTGGCCAAGTGCTTTGCACTTCCAGCAGCTAATTGCATGGTTCCACCTGCAACCCCTTTTGTGTTTTCAACCCTGTCTTCTCATTTGAGATGTTTCACTTCTCTAATCTGCCTTGTGTGGTTGCTATGACTCGGAATAAATTCTGGTGGACAGAAAAAATGAGCAAGGTTCTATACCGTCTTTTAAGGTTAAATATAGCACACACACAAATCTCTCCCTGCCATCAAGTCAGTTCCCACCCATAGTTGTCCAATAATGGTCCTATAGATAGAGTAGAGGCACTCTTGTAGATTTTCGAGTCTGTAAATCTTTATAGGAGCAGAAAGTTTCATCTTTCTCTAGTGAAGAAGCCCCTGGGTTAGAACCGCTGACCTTGCTGTTAGCTATCCAACGCTTAGGCCACCAGGGTGCACTCTTCCCCTCTGCATTTCTCTGTCCCCTCTTGTCTTTTCTCCTCTCTTCTTCCCTTCTCTCTCTCTAGCTCTCTTTCTACACACACACACACACACACACACACACCCACACCCACACACAAACCCACACCCACACACACTTAGATATGTATGTGTACACATCTGTTGTATATATACACCTATAATGTATAGATAAGGATAGAGATAGAGATACATCTCTAATTCCTTAAACGTTGAAAGGACTTTGTTGGAGTACTGGTGATGCAACAATTAAGCAACCTGCTGCCAAATGTCTGCGAACTCATCCAGTAAAATGACCCCAAGGGTTCCTGGAAGAAAGACCTGTCAATCAACTCTTATACAGAGAACAGACTAGGAAACCTATGGGGGCAGTTCTATTCGCTGTGAGTTGACATCAACTCCACCTAACAAAACATGAATATTTTAATAAGGAAGCAAAGGTCACTTGTATCATGTTCTTTTTGGGGTTGCAGTGAACTGAATTCCCCTAACACACTAGCTCTACCTGTGCAGGATGTAACAGTTAAATTATAATTTCGACACACCTTATCACAGGGGTTGGGAGACCAAATGAAATGCATACTCTGCATACTTGCGACTTAGGAGCCCAACTTCAGCACCTAGGTGGAAACTGGATCTACGGTTTCTACCAAGACCAAGCTAGGAATGATTTACAATACTCCCCTTGAATTATGTGACCTTCCATCTGTTTTCAACCCTCTGTGAAAAGAATAAAATACAGGATTTTGACAGTCTTACTACAGTTTGAAGTTAACTCAGAGGTCAGAATGGCTTAGCACTTTTTTCCACCTGTAAAGTTGTACCTGAACAATACAAGTGTCTGTTCTGAGCATCTCATTGAATATTTTAATTTGAAACCCTAAGAGCCAAGAGCCTATAGCCTATGAATAAGCTGGTTACTGCCCACCTAGTGTGTGTGCTGTGTGTTTTTGTTGTCATGAAAGTGCTTAGCTCCTTTATTGCATTACTTAATTATAGTTCACCTATTTCATCAGCGGCCAAGCCCATTTCCAAATGAGCTAGGTCAGTTTCTGTTTTCCCAGTTTGTTTAGGTATTTCTCTGCCAGTAGGAAAGTTCCTGCTTGAAATTCTGTCTCATATCTCCACACTCTATTCAGATATGCACATTTTATTCCAAGTGCATGCTGTTATTTCTGCGATTGCTGGCCCCTAACCAAAGAATACAAGTAATATTCACTCCAAATGTTTGTCCTTCAAAAGGAGGAGATTTTTATGCTAGGTTTCAGGAAGCATTTTGTGGAATTTGTATCTACTTATAGTTAGGGGAAAATTTGAGACACTTTAGTTTCATCCTCCATTCCCAACACTTACAGATTTAAATTGTTACACACACACACACACACACACACCTTAGTCATTTAAAGTTTTCTTATTATTTTATAATGAATATCTTTGCCCTATGCATTGGAAAATATGGCACAACATCACACAGAGAAGTGAGACCAAGTTGAGAGTTTTCACACTTGGGTTTGCTAGAACTTTAATCCTACTGAACATTTTTTAAAAAAGAAAAAGAAAAAAGATTGAGATATACGATGCTACAGAACAAATTTCTACAACAGTTTAGATTTTAGAGGTAAGTTATTTCTAATCTTGTCACTGTTCCAGAGTGGGGGAAAAACAGAGAAATATTGAGTTCTGCAGTTAGGTATGTTTGTAGGCAGAAGAAAAGAATTCTTTAAACTTCAGGAGACAGTTGACGCTGTGCACAAACATTTCAGTAAGCAGGTTAAAATCACCAATCTCACATTCTGAATTCAACCATTTCATGGATGCCCTGCAGTACCAAAGAAAGTGCAAATAAGTGCTTTGAGCATGATGCGGATGGCATCTCCATCACAATAAAAAACCAACCAGATCCATTGCCTAAAGTAGGTTTCTGAGACTAGGTCTTTAAAGAATCAGGCAACTTCATCCTTTTGCTTGGTGTGAACCACCAAACTTGATGTTGGAAGTCCAATGCTCACTCCACCATGCACCTGGAATTCTTTCCAAGGCAATGTCTGTCTGTCTTACTGCTGTCAAGTTGATTCCTACTCATCTTTGCCCTATAGGACAGGGTAGACCTGCCCTCGTGGGTTTCTGAGACTGCAATCCTTTACTGGAGTAGAACGCCTCATCTTTCTCCTGAGAAGTGACGGGTAATTTTGAACTGCTGACTTTGCAGTTAGCAGCACAATGTGTAACCCACCACTTCACCAGGGCTCCTTTCCAAGATGATATTGCTCTACTTACTTCCACAATGAGGGAGGATTGAGGAAAATAAAAATTCTACGGAATAGGAGGAGCATGGTTCTCAATGGTATAGTTTTGACTGGCCTTAAATCCTGCCTTTTGACTCTGAGCACTTAAGAGCTACCCGAGTTTTGGCAAAACCTGAGATGACATCATAGCCCTAAAACATGGGTACAGGATTCTCATCTGGGTTTTGACCCAAGTCCCCTCCCAGTTTGCCATATGCACAGCCTGAGTAAGCTGTTGTCTGCTTCAGCACTAGGGCTCGAGGATGTTAAGAAGAGAAGTAACAATGACCAAGTCCTTACGGTGTGCCAACTATGTTGTGTGTTGGGTGCTTCACACCCATTGTCTCATTCCTTCTTTAAAATAGTCACATTAAGTAAGTCTGATGAGCTCATTTGGCAAATGAAGAAACTAAGGCTTAGTGAAGCCAAGTCTGATGAAAGAACTTCGAGAGTAACCCTTCATGGTCACCAGGAAAGTTCTCAGAGTTACCTGATGGAGTAAGATGAAAACAGCAGCTAGAGTAGAACCACTCTTGTAGATTTTCGAGTCTGTAACTCTTTAAGGAGCAAAACGCCTCATCGTTCCCTGGTGAAGAAGTCCCTGGGTTAGAACTGCTGATCTTGCTGTTAGCTATCCAACGCTTAGGCCACCAGGGTGCACTCTCCCCCTCTGCATTTGTCTGCCCCCTCTTGTCTTTTCTTCTCTCTTCCTCCCTTCTCTCTTTCTAGCGCTCTCTTTCTACACACACACACACACACACACACACACACAGATATGTATATATACACATCTATAATGTATAGATAGAGATAGATAGAGATAGTAGTCTGGGGCTGCTCCGAGGGTTAAACCTTGTTTGGAGACAGGCGCGCATGCAGAAATAGACCTGCTGAGTCTTCTAGTATGATCTTTGCTCAAAGTCAGGCACTGAACACTCATGGCTCTTTTTATGATCTATATGAAAATAGAAGCCCTGATAGCATAGAGGGTTTAGTGTGGGGCTGCTAACTCAAAGGTCAACAGTTCAGCCCTCTAGAAAGGTGAGGTTGTGTGTTTCAGTCAAGGTTTACAGTCTCAGAAACCCTGTGGGGCAGTTCTACTCTATCTGACATGGTTATAATGGGTTGGAATCAACTTGATGCAGTGTTGACTTATGCCAAAATATGCTGAATTTATGTGTCAGCTACATCCTTCATTTTACAATACAATTGTCAGGATATATGACTTTTCTTGCTTATAAGGCAGGCATTCAGGTCATCTGATTAAGGCTATTATTTCTCTATGTGCTAAGATAGGCTAAACAATGGGATCAAACATAAGAACAATATCTGAAGATGGGGCAGGACCAGGCAGTGTTTCCTTCTGTTGAGGGTTGCTATGCATAGGTACCAGTCCGCAGCACCTAAGAACAGCATCCTAAGTAAAGCCACCCAGGCAAAGGAGACCTTATATCTTTTTCAACTTCACTTCCCCTTCACATTGTGTGTGCGAATATATTATCAGCATAGAGTTGCTCTGAGTTGGACTGTATGCAATGGCAGTTAGAATTTTTTGTTTAAGGGGCCAGTTTGGAATCTACAACCCTTTCCTATTAATAAATGGAAAAGGACTACTACCTTGGTTTAAAGAAACTCATGTAGTCTCTTAGGGAAAATTAAATTTGAATGTCTCCTTCTGTCCATTTTTGCACAAGAATCTCCCATTTCCTGGTTAAGCATCCTTTAAGAGATGCAAATATCAAATAAGAAATCCTCTTCAAGTGACTGACTGTAAACCAAGGTGTGGTTTCCTCCTCTGTCAATCCTCGCTCTGAATATAGCCCTCTGAAAATAGTCTAATTAATATGCTGTAACTGCTGCTGGGAACATTCCACTGGAAGACAATGGGAAGTCTCCCCTCCAGTGTAATTGGAGAGATCCTCGGGGAGGAGGAGACCATAGCCATGGCCTTGGTATGGCAGAAAATGAAGCAACGCCACAGACTCAGTGTCCTCTGGCAATGCAGTTTATGCAACACCGAGGTGTCTGGTTACTGCGCAAATACATGCTGAGTGACTTTGCAGGTTAAAGTAATGGTTTAATCAACTAGGGTACTATTTATAGTCCCAGGGAGGATTTAACAATTGCACAGAAAAAAATAGTAACTCTTAATTTCTTAGGTCAAATGCAGTCAATATTAATTTTGCATGACAGTGAGATCCTGCAAACCTTCTGGAAAGTCCTTAGACTGAGAGGACGCTATCGTGTGTGTGTGTGTGTGTGTGTGTAGATATACATGCTGACCATCACCATCATTGAATTAAGAGGCAGAAATATGGTAAAAAACACAGCCGTCACACCTTAGTTATTTTATTTCTTATTTTCAAAAAACATATATTCAACTCAAAGTCAGTTTTCTCATCTGCAGAAAAGATCATACCATCTATCCCGTCAAGTTCAGGTATAATTTAAATGGATAGGATGAGATTACAAAAATGATTTTTAAAATATTTTTTAAAGTGAGGCTGTCACATTGTGAGGATTGCAACCAACATCAGGAAACAAAATGTGCATGCATTGCTGATGGAATACTGATTCGCTTCAAAAAATTTCACAACTCACAATACCCTCCCCCACCAGCACCAAAACAAAACAAACTCAAATTCATTACCATCCCATCTATGCCAAGTCATAGTGACCCCTGGTGTGTAGTGGCAAGGTCAGACCTTTGAAACCACGTGGGGCTGGGCTCCCTCCTAAAGAGTCAGTCTCAGAAACTCAGCAGGGGCAGTGCTAGCCTGTCCTGTAGGGTCTCTGTGCGTCAAATCACAATAAAAAGGTTTTAAAAGAAACCTACTATCATCATCACTAATGAACAGTTTTCTTACTAAACGCGTCATTTGATCTTTGCAATAACTCCTTCTTAGCCAAAAAAGACATTGTTAACTTGAAGAGACAGTGAGAAATGTGGTCTGTGATGACAGGCTCCATGTTGGACATGCGCTAATCTCGGCTACGGATTCCCCCCTCCCTCCCTCCTCTCTTCCAGGAAAGCCTCAGGAGAAGCGTCACTTAGATGAGCCTCATGTGGCTGGTGGTGAGGTGTTGGGTGGCTAACCACAGGGGAGGTCGTTCAACCTCCCCACTGCACAGCAGCTTTGCAGGAGATACAAAAATCAGGCTGTCTACTCCCACCTCAAAAACCCTACTGCTCCAAGGCTGTGGGCTTGGTCTTTCTTGTTTTTTCTTCGTGTTCCGTGACTCCTCTTTTATCGTTCTGTGTTGTGGTAGGCTTCCAAAAAGCACTCAGAAAGTGTTCTTCGGATGGCTGGTTAGATTCAGGCTTTATTCATACTCCTCAGGACTGTGTTTGGACCCCGCTAGCTGTTCTTTAAAAGTTTGTTTGAAAAGCAAGCTATTTTCAGACTGAACAATAGTTGAAAATTCACTTTTTGTTTCTGATCAATTGGAATCATTTTCCACCCCCTTTCTCCTATTTGATTCCCTTAATTCAATCTGTATCTTCTGATGGCTTACGTAGTCATTACAAGTCTGTGAGAAAGAGAAGAGGGACAAGAGAGAGGAAGTGACAGACAGAGAAAATGATTGAGCAGTGATATGGCAGAATGATAGACTGTCAGTGGGAGAAAGAGAAGTATTGGGTTAGAAAGGAAAGGGACTTTAAGAATCATCTAATCTAAATTTCATCGCTCCCTCCACCGTACCCCCACCCCCAGACATCTGTTCTCAGAGATAAGGAAACTTCGATGTAAGGAAATAAAATTAGTATCTGAGCTAGACGTGGAGGCCATAGCGTACAAACCAAATGCCCTGCTTCTCCATCTCATGGCTACTGACAGAGGGAGCTGTCCCGGGCTTTTTGGAGGGTTTAGCAACAATCCTGGCCTCTACCCACTAGATGTTAGTAGAACCTCCCACATGTGACAATAAAAATGTCCCTGATTGCAAAATTGTCCCTGGCTGAGACCTACTAGCTTGATGGGTTTACAATAGCTACAATACTACCTCACCATAATTTACATTTTGGATAATTAATATTCAAACTACCACAACAAATAAAATGAATAGTAATGATTGACTGGATACAAATATGAAAGCAATTTGTTTTAAAATTAGCTTAACACTTTTTATTGCAGGCTTTAGGTCCATTTGTATTTAATTGTGATGAACAATGTATTTGGGACAGTCACTAGTGCTTTCTTCAATCACTTCCCTGTAGATCATCCTTACTATTTTGGCACCTATAACACAGAACCTTCTTTTTGCTCCAATTAATTTTCCATTTATATTCACTCCCTACCACAATTTCCCAAAGCTGTCATTTCCCATTCCCTATTATGGTCCTTGGAACATCTGAATGGTTCTTAAGCCCTAAAGCTTATAAGAGTTCAAACCCATTCTATCAACCCCATTCCTATTCGTTTCCTCAAAGTCTGCAATCCCACTACCCATGAAGATAAATGGGGGATATATAGGCATCAAACTCAAATTCGTTTAGTCACCCTTTCCTGCCTTCCTACCTCATAAGGAGCCCTGGAGGCACTCCCCTGTAAATGTTGGACGGTCAACTGCAAGGTCAGAGGTTAACCCGGAACCCCTCCCCCCCCCAAGCACCCTGCAGGAGAAAGAAGAGGCCATCTCTTTCTGTAAAGACGTCGAATCTCAGAACCCCATGGAAGGTCCCTGTGAACCAGAGCCCACTCGAGAGCAGCAAGGCAGTCCTTTTCCATTTGGCCTTGATAACTGCAGATGCCACCACACCTGGGCGGTGCTCTTCTCTGTCAATGACACCCCATCCTTATTGGTCTCATCTTGAATTCTCTCCTCTTCTAATTCCCGAGAGCGTAGCTCCATTTACTTTATTTGGGACAGGGACTATGTCTTATTCACTGGGCTTTCTTTCAGTTACATCTTAATTTGAAGAATGTCAAGTGTTGCCCACTAACCGAAAGATATGAGTACTTTGGAATATAATTTATGACTCACCAAATTGAGGAGTATAATTTAATATCTATGGCTTAAACGGAAACAGCATATGCACCCTCTCATGACCCACAGGACACACAGCACCCCTCCTATATTTTCCTCCTCTGGGGTTTATTGGGCAGCTGCTTTCCCACAACTGTGGCAGGTCTCTAGAACAATGAGAACTGGAAGAAATAGCTGTGCCCCACAAACTACTGTTGTTACCGGACATTCTATAAGATACATGTGTGATTCTAATCCTTCCCCTTCCCCCAACCCCAACTAAGAGGAACATAAGTATCCTATATGGCTTTCCTCCCAGAGCCCAGAAAGTTATACATATCCCACACAATATATGCAATATCCATATTTCATAACGGCATTTACAAAGTGCTTTTGATTCATTTATGAAATGATTTTGATATACAAGATATCAAAAACAAAAAAACCTTTCAGAGCAGAAAATACTTGGGCCATGAGGGGGCAATCTCTTCTTACCACTTTACAAGGAAGATTTTTGGGGGGGCTATTTTGTCATTTAAAATTAAAATGAATACCAGAGGGCTTCAAAAATGTTCAGGGGGAATTGAAATGAGAAAACAGTGGAATTTCCCCAGGACATTTTTGAAGCCCCCTTGCCTTTATTTGTAATCCTTTATTGTGCCAACCTCTGCTTTCATGCTGTTTCGTCTCATGTAGCTGTGGCTAAGTTTTACATTCATATTTTAACAAAGTTTAATTAAAAGTTGATATTGAACATCTGGGAAGAGACTGATTACTGACAGAAGGCAGGCCTGTGGTTTTCCTCCACATGCTCATATGCATGTTATTCTCTGAAAAAGTTGTTCCTAAGTGCGGAAAGTAGTTTTGAATATATAATGTGATAAGGGGTTTCTAGATATTTTAACCACAGTGAAGCAAGACCTTATGTAAAAGTGAAATTTAATTTTGAGCAAAGACACCTGGAAAAGGTGAAAGCATATTCACTTCTCAAAAATGCACAAGACCTAACAAGCCTACTGTGCTACAAGCAAATCCTTAAATTACTGACATCCACGGAAAACTGCAAAAAACTAACATTTGTGAGAAGGTTGGCTTGTGACCCGAGCAAAAGTGTGAACAAAGCAGATTTTTGGTACCTGTCCGGGCTGGACAAATCCTATGATTCACTGTGTGTTTGCTGCTGTGGTCTAAATATTTAAAAAGATTAAACTGGCAAAATAAGAAGATGCGTTCCTTACATTCTGTAACCGATCTCACATCCTGGTGGATTGTTTTCATGTGCTCGGTTGTTCTCCAGGAGAACTACTGGCTGTGGACTTTGCACCTGGTTGGGTCAGCCAGTCACTGAACCCAGTCTCTTCTGTGGCAGGTCCTCCTAAAGGAGCCCGCAGCGTGGCCACTAGAAGCCAGGTCAAGAGAGATCATATGCAATAAATAAGACTTTTTCTACACCTGGCACTCTGCCTGACTATGGGGTAAGCACTTCTTAGCCCTCCAGGGCTCACGACATTCAGTGCTACCCCTATTCCGGTGATGGCACTCACCCGCTCCCACGCGCTGTCCCCAACCTTGTGTAAGGGTGTAGGCTTGGCCCTGACTCACAGGGAAGAGGTGATTTGTTTCCTGTGACTCACCGGCCCCACTTCCTGCTGGCACACTTGAGATTTCACTGAGACACAGCCTCTGAAAGGTGAAGGCCCCGAGAGGAAGAGGTGAGCGTCACAGTCCAAACAGTCATTTATTTGGAAACTGGTCAGAAGTCATTTGGTTTTTGTTTGTTTTTAAAAAAATCAATTTATTGGGGCTCATACAATTCATCACAATACATAGATCAATTGTATAAAACACATCTATACATATGTTGCCCTCATTATTCCCAAAATTCGCTTGCCTCTTGGGTTCCCGGAATCAGCTCATTTTCCTTTTTTTCCCCCTCCCCTTCCCTTCCTCCTCCCCTCTCCCCCATGCACCCTTAATAATTTATAAATTATTGTTGTATCTTATATTACACTGTCCGGCGTCTCCCTTCACCCACCCTTCTGCTGCCCGTCCCCCAGAGAGGAGGTTATATGTAGCTCCCTGTGATCCATTCCCCCTTTCTTCACCCCCTTTCCCTCCTGGTATCGCCACTGTCACCCCTGGTCCTGAGAGGTTCATCTGTCCTAGATTCCCTGCGTTTATGTTTGACTAGACATTCCAATTGCCAATTGTTAGTTCACAGGTCAATCTACCTCATGTCAACACAGAATTTCTTTATATCTTAGTTACTGTTGTAGACTTTGCCATCAGCTCTGTTTGTTTGTTTGTTTGCTGCACATAGATGCTATTCAACAAATTTAGCATCACTGAATTCTTACTATTATGGAGTCCCTTGATCTCCGAGGCCCAAAGTAAACATTATTTTTCAATTTTATTATATTTCAATTCCATTTTCCACAAACTTTTTGAAGCCCCTTCAATAAAGAGAGACCATTCCAACGTTCAGCTAACACTGAAGACATAGAATAGAATAAATAGAAAGCTTAAAGAAATGCTGGAATACAGTCTTAGCATCTGTGCCATCCCTGTCCTGACTATATAATGATGAGTTATGAAGGTTAATTTTAAGGTTAATACCCACTGTCATCGAGTTGATTGTGACTCACAATGACCCTTCTATAAGGCGTCAGAGGAGGTAAGTCCTTAGGGGATCAGTTCTCCTGGAGAGCTACTGATAGGTTTGAAACAATGACATTGAAGTTAGCAGTCCAATGCTTACTCAACAGTCCCACCAGAATCCTTTGAAGAATGATGGGATGGTGAACATCAGAATCTTCCAGTGGTGGACTTTTTCGATGATCTGATCACTTCCAGTTCCTCCTTGACTCAAGTGCAAGGACGTGGGGTGGAGGTGAGGGGGAGGGATGCTTGGGAATCAATGTTTCATAGCGATCCAGGTAGGCATATGGACACACAATTCAGAACTGATTTTGCTGTGTTGTTGGCTACATGTATCCAATTTAAATGAAAAAGTTCCTTCCAGAGGAACATTTAAATTTATCTTCAATTTCACCTGTGAAATACTCGTCCTGCAGATTAATGCAAGTCTCACAGAAACTCTCCCAAGCGGTGGACTGGGTCCAAGGGATACTCCGTCACAGGTAGAGAAAGGCCAGTTTTCGCCGAGGCACACCCTACAGTGAACATTCTTGAATTTAACAAAGACAAATATTTCACCTGTGGCCTGAACAAGTGGAACGAAGTTTCCAACAAAGGAAAAACCAATAACCACTAAAAATGTTAAAAACAAACAAACAAAAAAAACCACACAAACCAACAACGCCACACTGCAAAAAGACAAACAAGCAACACCCCAAGCAATGAGCTAGATTCTGTAATAGTCACGTGATTGCAAACAGGAAAGGCTGGTCTCCAGTTTCTACAAAGGGTAGAGAAATGCTATTAAAGGTGATTTTCCCCACCCTGGCTGATCCTTTTCTAGCAGGAGTGTTGAGATTGTCCCTTCCAAAGTTTTCTCGTTGGAAGGATGGAGGAACCGGGTGGAATGTCAAGGACGCAAAGTGTGTAATCAGTTCTCCAGTGTGGATTCCAGGAGACTCCGTAAACTGCGGAGGACTCGGATGATAGAGCTAACGTGTTAGGTGGCCAACTGGATGACTGGAGGGGTGAGGCCTGAGAAGAGGGACCGGGATATATCTACCTTCACAATGCCAGCGATGGAAAACCTTATGGCGCTCACCTCTTAGGCTCATGCGTCAGAGTCTACTGGCTATGGCGACTGGAGAGCCGCTCAGTTCAAGGGCTCCGTTCCTCAGTAGTGAAAGTCTATGCCAAAATCCCACTGAGAAGCAGCACAGCATTCGCTTGGAGGAGAATGTAGCTTCTGTGTGAACCAACTTTGTGTAAAAGAGTCATCTTTTTTAACTGTTCAGCTGATAGATGAAATAGAGACATTAGCCATTTCTTGTTTTGTGAGAGAGAAAGTTATTTATTTATTATAGCTATAATAGCTTCTGAAACAGCATTTATACGGCAAGAGAAACATGCATTGGGGAGGAGAGATCTGTAAACCTTACAAGGAAACAGTATCTTCAAATCATTGAATGATTACTAGGCTTGATGTCAAAAGATAGATTTACCATTTCCCCCACCCCCATGGCTATTAAATGTGTGATCTTAGACACGATATTTCAGATTGTTAAAGGCTAATACTTATGTCACAGGCTTATTGTGTCAAGTCTAAAGCTTTATAGAAACATCAACCATGATACTGATTTTAGTATCCTGGTTTTAGTACCCTGGTTTTAGTACCCAGAGAACTCAAATGTACTTAATAGCTACGTCTGAGAGAGAAGAAAAATATCCTTGTTACTTGAATTAAATAATCCTTTAAATTACTAAACTACAAAGAAGTATATAATCTTGTTACAGACCAGTAGAGGGCACCTCCCACATATACTGTTAAGACTTGAAGCATTTCACTAAGTGTAGAGGAACATTTTTCGAGAGGTTCCGGTAATTAATGCACTTTTAAAAATACCAGTTAGTTTAGGTCTCTCAAAATCAGGCCCATGCAGAGTTAATGGATTTGTCCAAAATAACATAGTTCAAAATGTGTCCACAAGATTTCATTTACATCATATTTTGCTGCCTGACTATGGGATTAAATATTCTGCTTTAATTACGGTCACCCTAGCATGTTCTGCCCAATACCCATTAACCTTTAGTACTACTGTGTGAGCCCTGGTGGCATCGTGGTTACATGTTGGCCTGCTAACCACAGGTCAGCAGTTCAAGTTCACCAAGTGTGCCACAGGAGAAATACAGGGCTTTCTAGTCCTATAAACATTTACACCCTCAGAAGCCAACTGGGACAGTTCTACTGTGGGCTCTAGGATTGCCGTGAGTTAGAATCAACTTGAAGACAGTGAGTTTCAAATATCATTGCCTGTTTTGAAATTCTAAAATGTGGCCCATTTAACAACATAGTTGGACATTATTTGGAAAGTTACTTAAATTCATGCATCTATGAGGGATAGCATCTTCCCCAAGGTATCATAAGAGATTATCAAATGGGATAATACATATGGTGCAGATAGAACCATGACTGGCTCATGATGATGTTCAAGAAATACTAGTTACTGCTAACTGCTATTACTACTTCCACCACCACCATTAGTTTAAACACAAACACTGGACATTTAGATGAAAGTAGCTAAACTCTCTTAAGTAAACATATGTGCCATTGAAAGTGTTCTTCTTATTGTGCTCTTTATGAAATTCGGAAACTGCTTGAGTCATTCTGATGCCTGTTTTCCAGCCTTTATCTTTCCATTGGAAATAGTCCTGAAGCACCTTGCGGAGACTCCGTGTGCTTCCAGAAAATGGGATCTTGGACGGGGAAGAGGGGGGCAAAAGAGAGGAGCTGATACCAAGGGCTCAAGTAGAAAGAAAATGTTTTGAAAATGATGATGGCAACATATGTACACATGTGCTTGGTACAATTGATGTATGGATTGTTATAAGGGCTGTAAGAGGAGAAAAACAGATCTATCAGAGCCCCAATAAAATTATTCATACAAAATTTAAAAAAAGAAAAGAAATTGGAATCTAGGCAGCAGTGTGGCTTTTCAAGCACAGTTGCGACTTCCCACAGCGGATATGATTTCTGCTGGGTTTATCTAGATTGCATTTTACTTGTTGAAGTCTACCGTGGTGGGCAATACTATGCCAAGGGTAACTTGTGCACTAAATCAACTCATGCATGAATCTGAGGTTGAACTTCCAGTTTAGCTGTTACTGGTGTGGAATTTGGTTTTTACTTGAAGTCTTTGTATGTGTGTGAAGAAGCCTGTCTTGGATCATTGCTCTGAAAAAGATCACTTGCCAGGGAAGAAATGGAGAATTTTCTCAAAGTTAGATCTTGACAAAGGTAACTTGGAGACATTAAAGAAAGATCAAATATGTTTCTATGACTAGAAGATCAGTCAATGCTTTCATCTTTGAACTGAAGAAGTAGAGACTCATTCATTTACTATTCTACACCGGCTTCTCCTCTTTCTTTTGTGGGATTTTAGGATGTACATCTTTGAAATAATTAGGAAAATTATATAACTGCTGTATCTATGTGGAAAATATGATCAGAATTTCTCTTCCTGAAATATTAATGATATATTTGTGCCCCTACCATAAATAGGTTTCCATCTTCTTCAAGCAGTTCTAAGTACAACTGTGATCACATCCTGCATCCCAGGAGAATCCCATGATAACTGCACAGCTTTAGGTAAGCCCGGCTTTGTCAACGCTGCCTTGCAGAAGAGCACGTGCTTCCACAGTACTGCGCATATATACAAGGCATTGTGCCAAAGGGGGAACATTTGCTTTTATAACAAAAAGAAACTTCTTTCCTCCTTCACCGCCTGTGAGGACTAGAGAAATTGTTTAAAGGAGGAACCGGTGGGAGAGGGACTGGGCATCTGGGACTCTACAAAGATTTTATCTTAAAAAGATAAAGAACAACAACAAAAAGATAGAGAACCAAGAAAGTGAGATTCCCTTCTCCTTTCCACCAGGGACTGGAGCCTGGTGTGACACCATTGCTAGGCTGGGTCTCAAACAAAGTCAATTTTGGGGGTGGGGGTGGGGGTGGTTAGAGGAACAGATGATGTCATTTCCCCCTAGTCGAATTGTTCACCCCCAAATAAGGGAATTAATACATGCCAAATGTAGCCTTTGGGCACAAGAGGTCCAGAGAAAGGAAGACGCCATCTTTTCCTAAAGTACCCCCAACCAGCCAACTAGCCAGCTGCTGTCAAGTTGAATCCCACTCATGGAGCACACCCCCCTCCCCCACTCCCCGCCCATGGGTTTCACCTAGAACGGCTCCCTTGCCTTTTCAATCACTGTGATCTCCGATCTTACAGAAGTAGATCTCTAGACTTTTCAACCCAGGTGCCCCTGGGTACAGTGAAACTGCTCACCTCAAAGAGCCCCCATGGACTTTACAAGTGGTCCAAGGAAGATCTGGTTTATACTTAATCTGAGCTATGTTCCAAAGCTGCATCAAAGGATCCAGGCTATTTCCCATAATAATTTTACCATCTCTCTTGTCCTTCAACATTGGACTCTCTGGAGATTTTAATCCGTGTTCTCTCCTCCTCCTTCTTTGATATTGCTATTTGAGGAAAAGTAACTGGTACTTTTTTGGGGTGGTTATTTTATATGCATCTGTCACATTTTAGTAGGTAACACATTGAGAGGTAAAATTTAAATGTGAGGGACAACACTGTTCCTAATGAAGCTTCTTAGATTCCTAGTTACATATACAGTGCCATTCTTAGCCCAAGGTTTCCCTGGTTAATATTCAGATGTTATTTTTAGATATGTTGCAGGCCTTGATGAACTTCTCACAGATTTGGGAAGGAATATCAAAACAAGTCCGATTGGCTTAAAAACGCACCATAAAATTAAGCTCTCCTGAGATAACGATTGGCTTCTGCTTGCAATTAGCTTTTGGAGTGGCAAGTGTGAGAAAAAAACTAAGGAAGGGAGTGAAGATGTAATGAATATGTACCTCAGAGGGTAATGTGTTTTGTGTGTGACCTAACACTTATTTCTTCAATTCTTAAAGATTCTCTTTAAGGATTAAATCCTCGGGTTTTATCTTGTTTTGTTAGTGGGCTGGGCATTTTCCTTTGGGTTCAGGTATTTGTGTATTGGTCTAACCAGTTACTGTGGTTAGACCACATTGACTCATGGGGACCTTCTGCTTGTCTGAATAGATCTGCGCTCTATAGGGCTTTAAATGACTGATGTTTTGAAACGGGTTGTCAGGCTTTTCTGTTTGGGTGTTTCTGAGTGGGCTTGAACCTGCAACCTTTCAGTTAGCAGCTGAGCTCTGTAACTGCACCTCCCAAAGACTTCTGATTAGTCTCAGGAATGTGATGACTTGACTGATTTCTTATTCCTGAGAAGTTTCCCTGACCGATTGGCAGGGAACCTGCTTTTCTGAAGTAGTTCAATGGTTACTGTTATGAGGGGTGGTCCATGCTTCCAAGAAGGCCATAGGATACATTCGACTCACCTTTCCTTCACAGTTCAGACGGAAGACAACCCACGGGTTGCTCAAGTGTCAATAACAAAGTGCGCCCCCGACATGAACGGCTACTGTTTGCACGGACAGTGCATTTACCTGGTGGACATGAGTGAACAATACTGCAGGTAATGTGCCATCCTTCCACAGCAGAGATTGTTTTAAATATATTTTTCTCCCTCCTTTATCTTTGGAAGTCAACCTATATTCCCATGGGCAGTTAGAAAGCAGTTTCTATTTACCATTAAGAACTTTAGTAGCCAAGCTTTAAAAATGATGCAACAAATGGTTTTCAGCAATAGCTATGCTTCGAGAGTGGAGAAAGAGGAAGAATTCACCGACTGCCCTCTGATATGGACAATTCCTTTAGTGAACTCCTGCCTGAGCCATTGTTTAGATCAAAAAACTAAAACCCTACAAAAATGTATAAAGCAAGATTTCAGATCGTCAGCCACCCTAGCAGTTGAACCAAACCTTTTAAAACATATGTATGAATGTCTGTATACATGTATGTATATATATATATATATATATACATATACACACATGTATATTCTCCTGAGTAATATGTGGAGCTCTTAGCCATATGATCGAGCCCCAGCGGTTCCCAAACTTATCTGATCTACTGCCCCCTTTTCAGAAAAAGAAATTATTCGGTGCCCATATGGCAATTAGACATTCTTGTATTACAGCTCATAATCCAGGCTGAAGCACGAACACCTGACTTTGAAGTGTCCTTGGGTCTCTTGTGCCCACCCCCAAGGGGTGATAAGGCACACTTTGGAAAATACTTTGGGAAACTAAACTCTAGCTCTTCGGATACTCTTTGACTTCATCATTACAACATTCTGTGAACTCTATTGATCTTTTGCATTTTGCTGTGAAATTAGTTGTCAGAAAACTAGTTCATTGCCATTATTTTTCCCCTAAAAATGTGTTGTTTCTCTTGCATTTTCCTTTAGGTGTGATGTGGGGTATACGGGTGTCCGATGTGAACACTTCTTTCTAACCGTCCAAAAACCCTTGAGCAAAGAATATGTGGTCCTGACTGTGATTCTCATTTTCTTTTTTCTGATCATAATTGCTGGTTCCATATACTACTTCTGCAGATGGTAAGACAATGTGTTTTGTTTGTTTGCTTTGCAATGTGCCTATAACTTACTTTCATGCAGTCTATCTCTCACAAAGAAAGGCCTATAGATTGGGTACAAATAAGTATGAAGGATTACTTAAGGCAAAATAGAATTTGTCCTGACAGAATTTATAGAGATATTTTAGAAGCACATTTGACTCTAAAACTAATCTCTCATATTATCTGTGTGACTTCATGCAAATCAAATTTGGAGTTTCGATGCCTTCCTCTAAAATAACACTAAGAAATCAATTCTCCTTACTAATCATAGGACTGTTTTTAGTGTCGAGTATGACAATGCATGTGAAAGTAAAGATGCGATGCTAATGTGATACATGGCCGCCTGTACTTAATTAATTAGACTCTAATTTATATTCCATCACCTGTCAGTTGGTCAGACTGTGGTGACTTAAAAGTTGCTACTTCCAAAACTTAGCTGCAAAATAAAAATATTAAGGGTAGGAGAGAACGTGGCCTGATACAACGCCGAAAAAGACTGATCCCTAGAAAAAGACATTATGTTAGATCAAAAGATCAACACAAATGAAAGAAATCCCTAGGCAGCTGGATTGCTGCAATAGCCACACGGTGGGCTCAAACATATCAAAGATCATGAAGCGGCGCAGGACTGGGCACTGTTTCATCCTGGTCTCTATATAGGAGGTTGCCAACCCAGTGACGACTAGCAAGGAACTTGTAACACACAAAACAAAGCTTGCAAATCAGTAGCCCGGGGGTGGGGGTGGGGTGCTTGAGAACTTAGCATGTAAGGCAGAATTTGCTGGTGGTGCAGTGGTCAAGCACACGGCTGCCAAATGGAAATTGGCTGGGTAAACCCCCCCACCTCTTCTGTAGCAGGAAGATGTGGCCTCAGCCTGGGACAATCACAGCCTCAGGAACCTGGTGGACAGTTTCACTCTGACCTGTAGGGCTGCTATCAGTTGGGCTGGATGACAAGGGCTATAGACAATAATACCATTTATTGTTAAAAAATGGTTCATGTTAGACGACCCCTCAACCAGTCACATCTCACCCTCATGTGCAATGGTGTCCTAATGCTGACAACTGGGGAGGGGAGGGGGGAGGGGCAGAGAAAACTGAAGAAAAAGAAAGTGGTCATTGAAATTACTGACCATATGGGACCGGAGGGTTCTTAGAGTTATGAACAGCGTATGGGAACAAAGCATAAAGTGGTTAATAACAGTTGCCTTAAAATATCTTCAAGAAATCCTTCTAATGAACCAGTACAAGTTGTTCAATGTAGGTTTGAATGTTTTGTTTTTCTCTTGGAGGTAAGTATATTTCTACTTTTGATTATCTCAAGGTGTGCTTCTGTTATAAAATTAAATTTGTTTTGTCTAAGTTTGAGTCTATATTTATCAAATAATATCTTCCTAAAGAGTTATAAGGAGCCCTGGTTGCCACCGTGGGGTATGAGTTAGGCTGCTAACCTCAAGGTCAGCAGCTCAAGCCCATCAACCTCTCTGAGGGAGAACGATGAGGTTTTCTGTTCTTGTTCAGATTTACAGCTTCAGAAACCCAAAACTTAAGTGTAGGCATGTGCCATTTTTATAAACTTCACAGTTTTTATGCTAAAGCCCCCAGAAGGTCCTTTAACTATGTCTCACCATTTCCTCTCAATATTACCTGACCATGGGCCATATCTCTTCCAATACCCAATTCCACTGGGATGCAGGCGATCCCGGCTCATAGGGGCTCTATAACATTGCTCCAGAGAGTTTCTAATCTGTCATCTTGATAGAAGCAGAGAGCCACATCTTTCTCCCATGGAGGAGGTGGTGGGTTTGAACCACTAACCATTTGGTTAGCAGCTGAACACTTACCCACTGTGCCACCAGTGGTCCTTTACGCTTACTTTTTTTATTGCTTGTTCACCTTGGCCATCTGGGGAACATGATAGAAAAAGGACATTATGCTCAGTAAAGTGAAGGTTGTTGACAAAGACGAAGACCCTCAGTCTGGTGACTGACACCGTGACTGCAACAATGGGCTCAACCCTGAGAGCACCTGTGACTATTGCTCAGGACTGGGCGGTGTTTCCCTCTCTTGTACAAAGTGTCGCTACGCGTCAAGTAGCTGTCTAGCTCTGCTAATGTACCTTTTGAGTCCACATCTCTGTTTCTTCAGTGAACACAATTGCTTCTTATTTACCACTGTATTAATAGGTTTATTTTTTTTCCTCCCTGAATGTTTCCAGGTACAGAAATAAAAAAAGTAAAGAATCAAAGAAAGAATATGAAAGAGTGACCTCGGGGGATCCAACATTGCCACAAGTTTGAATGGTGCCACCAAGCTTATGGGCAGCAATCCACGCACAGCAAGCCTGGTTAATTTTAGTACTGCTGTTTTATTAATGATATTTATGTTGGGTCATGTATTAGATCAATAGTGGCTATATTTTTAATACATTGGAAATATTTTTTTATTTTTCTTTTATTTTTGACTGTTTACTAATGTATAATGTGTGCGAAATATTTAATACAGAAACATATTGCTATTTATTTTGTAAAACAAATAATTCGTGGATAAATATTTTATTGAAAGCTTCCAAACTTACTCAGGGGGCTTCAAAAAGTTCATGAGAAAGATGGAATTGAAAGAGAATGGAATATTTCCCCCACATGAAATTTCCCAAGACCTCTTGTATGCCTGCTACGTAGTGATTCTTGCTCAGGCATAAGCAATGCTCAAGCCATTGCTCAAGAAATGTCAGCAAATGACAGATTTCTGTAAACCTAAAGACATAGTCAAATCAATTTAATAACTTTTTCTACTCTTCAAAAAAGATAACTGGTTTGACTATTTTATGGTTCGACATAAGTTGACACCATGGTGTCATAACTTAGAAAAGTAACACAATGGGAATGGAGAGGCAAACACAAGTTGTATGACGAATACTACACATTTGGAACAAACTAAGCCATGGAAGCATGTAGATGGCATGGGTTTTGTTCTGTTATGCATAACTTCCCCTTTCGCAAGACTGATCCCATGACAACTATCAACAGCAGCCTGGGGAAGGATAAACTCCCTCCACCTTCAGCCTCAGCAACCATTCAATGCTTCCTTTGAAGGATAAGATGCAGTTCTGCCTTTACTCACAACTCTTTGGGGTACCAGTCACCCACTGAACAGATTCTCTGTCATTAAAATGAGTTGGCAGACAACGTTCTAGTACATGTTGTGTAAAATCATGGGTACTTTGTAGCTTCACCATGTGCCTTGTGCAATTTTGTAGAGTACATTTTAATGTAAGATAGCTGCTGCCCATGTGACAATGAGAAGAAATCCGCAATTAAACTCAGCATTTCTGCTTCATTGTCGAGAACTTATTTTCATCAGAATTTTGTGGAAGAATTATAAGGCCAAGTCAGAGTCCACAATTTGATGAACTAATCAGAATTATCTTTTTTAAGTGTATTAGGATCATAGTTCAAAAATGTATAGACACTCACTCGGTTCTTCCATTTTCTAGGAAAAAAAAGTTTTAAGTTGAACTCAGTCATTTGACTTTTTCTAGAATGTATTATTCCACATTAAAAATGATGTCCTCAATGCACGGAGTGGAAAAATAGGGGAAAATCAGATATTATCTATTGTTTCACCAAATTAGCATACTTATTTGAAATCTTTCAGACTATAGAAACTTAACCACATCTTCCTAAGGAGGCTGAGATAAAGCCAGCTTCTTTATCCCTCAGTGTTCGCTTATGTTTTGGAAAGTTTCTTCTGCGCTCTGAGCCCATACATCTTCGTGAGTTAATGAGAGTACTTTGGGCAACTGTAGAACGAGTCATGGTGGCCACCGCCTCCCCATCTCACGTTTGACTGCTTCATTGAATGGAAAATCTTGGGGAGAGTCACTCCGGACCACATACCAGGTCAGGGAGGGCCTTCCTCCACATTTTTTTTTCCTGGCATGTGCTAGGCCAACAAGGAGATAATGAGCTATGACTGCCCTCTGGAGTGCCAGGTGCCCAGACTGGTCTCCATTTGCATCTATGCATGATTGTTCTTGTGTGTTCACAAGACTCTCATCCAATGTACTGGATCTGGTTGCTTACTAATAGAAAGACAAACTACACACACACACACACACACACACACACTCACACACACACACACTCACTCACACACACACACAAATATACTCGGGTAAGTAAAAAAGTGTTGTTATTAAAGTTCCAGTTCATATTTGTGTGGTTTAGTCCAAACAAAAAGTGTTTATACGTACCTCTGTCATTCATGGATAGCTGTAGACCAGTTCTCTCAGCAATTCACTTACTTTTGTCTCATTTGGGTGCTCTCAAAGAAGGTCTGATCCAAACAGTGGCTTACCAGAGAATCTGCTGCTGCTGTTGTCTGATGCCATTGAGCCGGTTCCAACTCCAGGGACCCTCGGTACACAATTGTTCTTGTGTTTGAGCCCATTGTTACAGCACCATGCCGACTGATCTTGTGAAGGAACTTCCTCCGTTTCACTGCCCTCTACTTTACCAAGCATGATGTGCTTCTTCAAAGACTGGGCTTCCTGAAAGCATGTTCAGAGTACAGGAGTGGAAGTCTCTCCATCCTTGCAAATTTCAGATGTTCTACTGACATCTACTTTGATCTTCTCTTTCTTTCCTGTATTTAATGACCTTTTGCTTTCTTCATGAATGATGTTCTTGATGTCTTCCCACAGCTCATCACGTCTTCCGTTCATTAATGTTCAACGCGGCAGCTCGGTTCTTACGATGGTATTGAAATTCTGGTGGAATAGACTCAAAGTCATATTTTGGCTCTTGTATACTTGTCTTAATTTTCTTCAGCTTCAACTGGGACTTACATATAAGCAACTGGTGGTCTGTTCCACAGTCAGCTCCTGGCCTAGTTCAGTTGCTGGTATTGAGCTTCTCCATTATTTCTGCCCCAAGATGTAGTCAAGTTGATTTCTGTGTGTTCCATCCGGAGAAGTCCATGTGTGCCCTTTGTGCTGTTGAAGAAGGGTATTTGATCAGGTCATTGTTCCTGCAAAATTCTATCATGTGTTCTCCAGCTTCATTTGTATCACCAAAACCATATTTTCCAACTACTGTTCCTTCCTCTTTGTTTCCAACGCTTGCATTCCAGTGGCCAGTCATTATCAATGCATCTTGATTGCATGGTTGATCAATTTCAGACTGGAGACATAGGTACAGTTCTTCAATTCCTTCATCACTAGCTTTAGTGTTTGGTACATAAATTTGAATAATAGTTACATTTATTGAATTTCCTTGAATAAGGATAGATACAATCCTATCACAGACAACATTGTACTTCAAGATAGATCTTGAAATGTGCTTTTTGACAAAGAATGCCACACCAGTCTTCATTCCTCTTGGGTCATTCCCAACATAGCAAACCATATGATTTTCTTATTCGAAATGGCCAATACCATTCACTTTCAGCTCACTAACACCGAGGATATCAATTTTTACGTATTCCATTTCATTTTTGATGACTTCCAACTCTCCTAGATTCCTTTTTTATAAATTTCGAGTTTTTATCTTTAGTAGATTTTTGCAGTCATTTCTTCTCGTGTTGAGCCATGTCCCATCAGCAAATAAAGGTCCTGACGACTTTACTCCCGCAGGCTGTACTCCATCCATGCTCTGTGTTCTATTCTATTTTGAGAAGGCAGCTCTTCCCCAGCGACCTATCTGTGAGTGCCTTCTGATCCGAGGGCTCATTTGCTCGCACTATCTCTGAAGATGTTCAGCTTCTATTCAGGCCTTCAGGATCTGAAAATATTTCAGTCTTGTCCTTAAGGTTTGCAATGGCTAATTCCCCCAAAGTGGACAGCCTATTTCTTCTCTGTAGTCTGCTATTAATCTGGAAGCTCTGCTGAAATCTATTCCCTTAGAGCGCCCCTGCTAGTGTTTGAATATCCACATAGCTACCAGCATCACTGCAACAGGAAAGCCACCACAGTAAGAAACACTGACCACCAGTGGTGGAGGGAGTCTGCCAGACCATTACATCAGGGCACGTTGGACAGCTCAGAAGGTTATGGAGGTTGTTTCCAGAGGAGTAATTGTGGGTGGTTTTCTTGAAGGACACAGGACAGTCATGGGGCTGTAAGGCGCCTGAGGAGGGAAAAGGCGAGGACGGTGGTTCGGAGGAACTATTGTGCATCAAGACCAGGCACTTGCTCATTCTTGGCAGGTAGCAAGGGCTGTCTGTAAAAACTTTGTTGAGAAATCCTACTTCATTTACATTACCACTCCATTGGTTCTCTTTTAGATTTCCTTTGTTACCCAATTCAAATATTGTCAGTCTGTAGTTAAATGTGAATTGATGTTACAAAATAAATACAGTACTCAAAAATATGGTCGCTTCTATTTTGTAGTTGATTGTTGGAAATGCAAAGTCATCTGCTAATCGAAATCAGGTAGTATACACGTATCATATTGAGATTTTCAGATTTGTCTCTCAGAGCCTCTATGGTCAATACTGAACTAGGCCAGTGATAGGAGTTGATGATTTAAAGAGACCAAGACATTGGTCCCGTGTAAAAGTAATAATATAAGGAACCTTGTTTGAGACCTTGAACGTGTCCTAACTGCTATTTTCATGTGATATAGATTGAAAAGCTCAGAATTCTCCAGGCAAGAGTTAGAGAGGTGGGAACACCACCTTCAGAAGTATGTAGACCTAGATGAAAGGGATTTGTAGAAGTAATAGTTTTATATTTTGCTATTTTGTTTAATACAAAATTCTGTAATTTTATAATAATACTTTTTACTTACCCTGTATATAGCTATACATACTCCACATAAATGTACGCCTCTTGAGCTAAATCAATCACAGAATTTAAATCATCTATTGCCCTATCAATCTACATATATAATAGAAACTTCGAAATAAGATCAAGATAAAAAGAAATAGTATAAAAATCAATTCGTTCTTATATTCTATGTAATATCACTTGGGTAAAATGCATAAGGAGACAATGCAAATGCTATACATGCAATCTCGAGCACCTTTCTCCTTTCAGTGACCTTTGCTGTCCCAAACCAAATATACTGACTAAGATCTCTACTGTAACCTATTTATGTATTCTATTAAAAAGGGGAATCATAATAGGTTTATCTTAAGCATTTCAATTTATGTTACACAGCTAAATGCAAGTAGATTTGACTATTTTGTATCTTATCAATATGTAATAATGACCCCCTGCAAAAAGTAACTCTCCACTATAATTATACATACTTCATAATAATAAGGTGTGAAACAGAAGACTTTTTCTGGCTGAAAA